CTCTCCCTGCGGGCGAGGGGCTGCTGGGCAGACTGTGGGGCTGCCCTGCCAGGGAGAGGACTCTTCTCCCCTTGACAGCCCTTTCTCTTCTCCCTTTCCTCGAGGCTGGCCCATTCCGCCTCCTTGTGCTGCCAGCCCTTCCCCTTGGAGCCTTCACCGCGCTCCTCCTCCCAGCCCTGCTCTTTGTGTTTGGCCGCTCTCCCTTCCTCGCTCCTCCTGCCGTGGCCCCTCTCCCAGCTCGGCACAGCCCCTTGTGCTGCTCTCTGGCTTCTTGGCCACTTTATCGCTTACTGCTCCGCTGTCTTTACTGGAGCCAGGGCACCTTTTCTCCCCGTTGTTTCAGCCTCTGTTTTTTGTGGGGGTTTTTTTGGCTTTATTTTTCTGCAGGTATCTGGTGTTTTTGTGTGCCTATACAGGCTAATTCTTTCCTTATTTTTTTTCTCTAGCTTCAGTCATTTTCACTTTTCCCTGTCCCGTATTTATCAAAGTTTGGACTTCGTTGAAGCATTCGAGTCGTTCGGGCGTTCTCATTTGGGCTGGACACAAAGTCTTTGTGTGTGTTGGAGAACAACGCTGTTCGGGTTTGTGTGCATGTCTGCTTGCGTGCCCAAGGCTACTCAGATTTTCTTGAGAGGGAAAAGGTTGTTTCAACGCAGGAGCCAGCGCTCGTTTCATTTTAGCTCCACACCAAGAAATGGGGACGCTCTGCAGCGTCTCCCTGGGAAGGTGCAGGAAAGGGGGTTTCTGGCCTCACCTGGCAAGAGACTGGAGCCCCTTTGACAGCATTTTCTGTGCAAAAGAAGAGCATACGGTGTGGAAACGTCACTGGAATGGTTTAAACGTTGTGCAAGCCAGGTGAGGAGCTGCAGCGTTGCCCTGCTCTGCCCTGCCCACGTGGCCGGGAGCGCTGGCAGCAGGTCTGTGCCACGGGCTGCGGGGTGTTCAGCAAAAAGGATGGTTAAGACCCCGACTCTTCCTTTGTACGTGGTGAATTGGTTTACCTGCGTGCAGAGCTTTAAGTGCTGGAAAATAAAGATAGTTTCCGGCCATGATGGATAGCGTGTTTGACTGTATTCCATGGATTTTAACTGCGAGTGCCTCTGTGCTTTTTCTTAGCCCTGGCATGAGATCAGATGTAAACTCTTCTCCATCCACGACCTCAGCGACGGCGGGACCACCTCCCAAGCTTTGTCTGGTTTGCTCTGATGAGGCCTCTGGGTGCCACTATGGTGTTCTGACGTGCGGCAGCTGCAAAGTGTTCTTCAAAAGAGCCGTGGAAGGTGAGATACGCCTTTAAGGAAATACTCTTTAAAAACATAAAATCCACATATGTAAAAATAATTTGGTTTTGAACAGTCTAATAGCTTCAGTGGAATACGTGTAATTGGAAGAATCTTATGGGAAAACCCCAAGCGTTCTATCACTGCTCTTTTCATAGTAAAATAACATTGATAATGGTGTGATTATCTGAAGCATAGATTGCATTTACATTTATAAAATGCTGCCATTCACTTGCAGGATAAGAGGAGGTATTGTTACCGTGGCTGCTTGTTTCTCTCCTTTTCTTTGCGTTGTTTTTGTTTACGTGTCCTGTTTATACACAGATATGTGTGTCCGTGTAGGGGACAGGACTTGTGAAGTTTTGGGGGTTTAATTTTAATATGTTCTACTTTTTCTATAATACCATACAGAAAAGTCGATAAATATCTCATATGCACGATCGTGAAAATTGTACTTTTTTTTTTTGCTCTAAGGAGTAGCGATTATATTACATAAATGTTCATGCATGATACACTAGGGGTAGCAGAAATGTGTGTGTGGTTTTGGACCATTGAGATTTCTGCCTATAACAGGAAGAAAATCATTTTAGAAAATAAAAATCTTGGAAAATGAAACCTGACGCTGTCCTGTGTATAGCAGACGAAGCAGCGTATGATTTGGGAGCTGTGTAAGTAGCCATTATATAATGAGCAAGGTTGCATCTCAGTCCCTGACTGCTTCAAACTGAATGCAGGCAAATTGCAAAGTACGTTCGCAGCGAGTCTCCAACGACAGTGATTCCTCTATTCCAAAATTATGTCATCATTAGTTACAAATATCTCCTACGAGGTTTCTTGTCTCATGCCCTTTTGATGCAGTTGCTGGTGGGCGTAATCAGACTATTTAATATTGTGAAACCATTTTTTCAACTGAATTTCAGCTCGGAGCTCGTGCCACGGAGCGGTGCTCTGGGCTGTGATTTGTGGAACAGGGTTGTCCTGTCTGCACAGCACTCGTATCTCCAGTGACTTTTCTTGGGAACATCTCCGCTTGCCCCCTTCCAAGCTTTAGCACCACGTTATTTGTTAGACATCTTGGTCTGCTTTTAAGCAGCAAATATAGGTGGGTTCATTCTGTGCAGCCGGCGCGTCCGGGCAGCGCTCACACGGGGCAGCAGGACGGGGAAGCAGCTTCGCCCCTTCATTCACAAATGTCGATGTGGCAAGAAGGCTTTAATGTAATCTAACATAAAGAAATAAAACAGCTCTAAAAAAGGCAGGAATGGCCAGGTAGTAAACGTAAGAAACTAAGAAACCTATCCTTTCATGAAGATGAAGCCTTTTATCAAGAAAAAAAGGAACAGCTCAGAAAAAAAATCTAGAGCTGAAGCACCCATATTTACATTATTTACTCTACCATGATCTGAATAAAACATATTTGTGAAATTGAAGATGATACTCCCTGTTCTGCTGCAGGGATTACAAATATTTGTCTGTTTGCTTCACGTGTGTATACAAGGATATTTGCTTTATATGTAGTAATACACTAATAATGGTAAACAGAACAATGATTTGCCTTTCCATTCACTGTTTTATCTCAGAATACCAAAATTATAAAGGTTCGGCAATGTCTGGTCATCTTTAAATAAAAAGGCTTTGGAGGTTCGTTTAGGAAAATGCTCAAGGTTTCCTTGGAATATCAAACATGAAACACTTCCCTGGAAAGAAGCTTGACTAAAGCCATGGCAATAGACTTTGCATACCCACAGTTTTCACAGCTGCTTTGAAACAAATCCCATAATCGAGCTCTTCTGCAAGAAAATTCTTAGAACAGCAGTTGGGTTCTGTTGTTCCTAGCTCAGTACTTGGGAAATGTTTTTGTTTCTCCCTGTTGTATTATCAGGACTGTGAAATATGGTGTAAAAGCATAGGCATCAGCTTTATCCCTACCAAAGGTGTGAAAACACCTGCTTTTTTGATCCTCTGATGCGAAAAGATCTTTAATAAGATCTTTTTCTACAGGACATTATCTTGGGACAGCTATTCATACAATTGAGAATCACTAGCATTCTTGTCTGCTCTAAGAAATGCAGTTATTTTTAGTTCTGTTTGCCATATTTCTATGCTGAACTCCGCTCTCAATCTGTGGATCCATAAAAATGCCAGCAAACTTAAGTTTTTCCATTCCAGCCTCTAAAACCAATGAGGAGGTTCCTTGACGGATAAATTCTGAAAGCTGTGTCTATATATTTGCAGAAACCTTGAAAGTAATGTTTTTAGAATGTGTTGGAGTTTACTTACATCTCTTGTGGAAGTATTTAGAGGTTACCTCTAAGAGGATAGCTTTAAGAAATTGGAAGAGAATTTTTTTTATGAATTTGCTCATTGACAAATAGCAAAAAAAAACAAGATTTCTTCTTACATTTATTGACTTCGGTGCGTAAAGAAAGAATTGTGTTGGGTGTTTCAAAGTAGGAAATCATGTGTTTACTGCCTCCTAACTGTAGGGCTCGTGGTTGTTTTGTTTGTTTCTGTGCACACAGGGCAGCACAATTACCTGTGCGCTGGGAGAAACGATTGCATTATTGACAAGATCCGGAGGAAGAACTGCCCAGCGTGCCGCTACCGGAAATGTCTCCAAGCAGGCATGAACCTAGAAGGTAACCTGAAAATGTTTAAGTCCATTTCTTACTTCTGTGTCGGATATAGTGAAGGCTGTGCTGTGCATGAAGCTAAACCAAGCATTTGAGCAGCATTTTAATGTGTTAAAAGTGCGTATCAGATTTTACAGTATGAATAATCATCATTTGAAATCAAGGTTTCTCCTATACTTTCATCTCTCTACTCAATAGCTCTGTCAGTATATTCAGTATGAGTGAGTCATCCACGAAAAACAGGGCTCATTCTACTTCCTGTCAGCATGTATCCGTGTCTTGCTTTCTCCTTCCCTGCATCTGAGGCAGCAGAGCTGGGAGAAGCCTGCAGGAGCCTTTGGGAAAGTGCCCTGAGCCTGCAAAACAGGGAGCAGGGAGCCCAGGGCCCTACATCCGCGGTTGGACTGGGACCTCTGCTGCAGACCAAAGAAAAGGAAGGGCTTGTTACGCAGGCTGTGGACTCTGGTGCTCCAACATGTGTCAGAATCTCTCTAGTAAACAAATGTAAATACACTGTGTATCTGCTCTCTGCTAAGTCCCGGATAGCTAGTGAGAAACTGGAGACCGCATCAACCAGAGATGAAGCAGCAGTTGTGAAGTGGGACGAGATGTCCTGCCTGGTGTGGGATGCATTTTAGGCTTGATTTTTTTCCTCGATTTTTTACCTTGATTTTCCTGAGTTGCAGCAATTGATACAGTACTTCCTCACTTAGTTATCTATAGCTGTACAATCGAATCAAAATTGTCAGATAACATTAAAAACTCAGAAATATGTTTGTTAGTTGCAAATATAAACAGAGTTTTCATTTCAGCAAAACCATGGTTCTGTGGTTAAAAGTAAGTGCAAAGCTATGTTAAAGAGGGAATGCTCACACAAGAGTCTACGTTAGCACATTTTTTCTTCCTCTTTTCTGCTTTAACTTCTCTCAAGCTGATGAATCATCAGTTTTGCTGCCCTGCAGGTGGCTCTACGTGCCCCTTCTTCACAGCAGAAGGGAAAGGCCAGCAGGCTGATAGGCCTCCCCTCGTATCCCATGCTCTGGAGCACGGATTTGGGGGTGGGTTGGTTTGTTTCCACATTATTTGTGATCTGTACGCGGTAAAGAAAGGTTATGACTCTTAACAGCCAAAACCCACGCTAGTGTATTCCAAAAGAAGGGCCCAAAGGGAAGCGAGGCCGTGCAGGAGCGTCTCGGAGCGGGACGGTGCGCGTCGGTGACACCTCCCAGAATGGCAGGGCCGGCCACGGGCGGGAACAGGGCTTCCCTGCCCCTTGCCGTGGCCAGGAAACCTGAGGAAAGCTTCAAGTAACACGGAAAGGCACCGTTCGCACGTCAAGGGGGAAGGGAATGCCTCCCGTTTTAAGACTTTTTTTTCTAACTTTTTCTTCTTAGTTTAAAAAATAAGTATATTGAAGTACCTCAGATGTGTAAATCATGCTCATCTGAGTAAAGCATCTTATGTGTGTGTTACCTGATACTAAGCCTTTGCATTGGTACACAAGTGGACGTGAACTCTTTGTAAAGCAGACTCCCCGATAGAGCTCAGAAAGGCTCCAGGACGTGTTGCATGAGTTACCTCTGCACCAACGAAGATGAAAGTCGAATGATGTCCCAGCCGCTTGCTGCTTTTCCGTGTGTAGTTTGGAGCCCTTCCAACTAAACTTTGCCTGCCTCAGTCTTGGCATACAGAGTGCCGGGGAATACTGATTTTTCTGGAAGATGAAGATTGTATATGTTGTTGGAGAAAGCAAGAAGGAAATCGCTTTTTGACTGACAGGGAAAAGGGATCTAGAAACTCAGCAATGCAAAAACTGTAAGAACCCAAGGTAGTGTACAATGGTGAAAAGAAGAGAATTATGAAAGCAGTGATTTACCAGACAAATCTGAACAGATGGTAAGTTGTTGTACAGGAGAAGTGGCAGAAAAGTGAGAGCTAGCATGAAGTGCAGAACAGACCCAGTGAAGTCAGCGTCCCTTTTATCTTGGCTATTTTAGGATCACAGTTCAAGAATTACTGTTGTTTAGAAGATAATAATTAAATTTACAAATTTGCATACTTTTCAGACAGTAATTTCTCTTTTGAAAAGCAATCAAGTGTATCCTAAATGCATAACGACACACTTGGAGCAACTCTCAAATAATGATTATAAGCAACCAGTTAATGAATGGCAGGAGGTGGGAATAGTCCTGCCACGTCGGTCTGAAGGTCTCTCGCACTCAGCCTGTCTCCCACAGCAGCATCTTTCCTTCCAGCCGTCTTCACCGCGGGGCTTCCTGCCTCTCCTTTCTGCTCAGCTGCTGCTGCACTTCCCACATGAATTTGTCTGGTCGCTTTTTGAGTAGATGGGACTTTCTGACGTCCACAGCAAACCGTGGCAGCGATTTTCGCAGCTGGGTGTTGTGTGCAGTACCGCCTGTTTCTGTTTTAATTCTACCATGTCATAATTTACTTCTTATCTCTTCTCGCACTGAGACAGAAATGGTGCTTCATACACCAAAACTATGGTACTTGATCATTTTCTAATCATTTTAGTCATCTGGCATGTTTTTGACCCTCTTTAGCGCTCTTTTGTGAAACTTCCCTGTTTCTGTTTTCTGCTTTTTTGGGGTTTTGTAGGGGAAGGAGGAATGGAAAAACATACAGCTATAAAGCTACAAGTACCAGAGAGCTATACAGTAGAATCATGATATTTCTTACCCCAGCCTTTACTTCTGTGAACTCTCGTTTTACGGGTTCATCATTAATATCCCCAGAGACCCGCTGGCTCCCTCTGTGTTTGCTCTGGCTTTTGGGAGCGAGCGCCCGTTCCGCAGGGCTCCGCCTCAGAGCGAGCGTCTCGGCCGGCGTCCGGGGCCGTTCTGGTCCTTCACGCTCTGCCCTGGGAAGCGCCGTGGCGCTCTGGGCCTCCGCACGGGCTCCTCACTGCCAGTGTTCTGTTTGCTGGTTTGTTAATAAAAATTTTTGGCTACTTTTATTTCCCTGCTGGGTTTATCTCTTTGGTTTATCTCTTGTAATTTGCCTTAAGGTGTTGGCTTGAAATTTGTACTATTTTTGTATTTGAAAAGAAGTGAGAAAGAAATACACTATCTCCACCTGCTTTTCCTAGAGTTATAGCTATATATGTGAGTCAGCTCTAGTAGCATAGCCTAGTAAATTCAGGCATATCACTTCTTTATCAGATCTGCTGCTTTTGATTATAATTTTCCAGACTTTCTGGGCTGGAGATTTTCCCTCCCAGGTGTCAGAATTAAGCTGAGGGTGTGTCTGTAAATTTAAGTCAAAGCAGTTCATTTTAGAACAAGGATAATGTGATAGAACGGGAGGGGAGAAATAATGCCCAGTAGATTTGGGAGCAGCAATTCCAATATTTAGACAGGAATAACAGGAAGCTCCAAGGAAACGACTTTTGCCCTTCCCCCATGAAAATCTATGCAAACGTGGCCAGCGTATGAACCTCAGAAAACTGCAATTTCTGCAAGATCCATAGAGAATTTGTTATCTTTAGCAATTGAATTTCTGGAAATTCTGTCCTAGCCAGCGGGAGAAATAGGGTCAGGAGGGGGATGATATTTTCTGTTACTCTACAAAGGTAGTAAATTTATGATAATTAGAGATACTGTGTTCGTCATTAAATTTCATGTTCTTACAAAGGAACCACATTACATGATATTTCTGTGTGGTTGAGTCTATCTTTGAAATTCCAGAATAGAAATCAGTTAATTAATGTAGGTATAGGAAAAGAATTTGGTTGTATTTTAGTCCCAGTTAAATTGTATGTTCACTTTTGCAGGCTACATCCAAGGGAGCTGAAAGCCAAGTAGGAGATTCTATTATTTGACAATCTGCTTATAAATTGTTGCTTCAACTTTCTGTAGTTTACAGCTAACATCCCTGTGTGATGTTTTATTTATTTGGCATATGAATTTTATGGTTTAATTACTGCAGCAGTGATTTATATGCAGGGGAGTTGGCAAGAAAAAGTCTGCTTCTGCCCAGTACTTTCCCAAAAATATTTTCCCTGGCTCCAAAGATTCACTAACTTCCCACCCTTGCCTGTATTCTTTCCTTTCTTCTACACAGTTTCTATTGTTAATATATTAAGGAAATTATACAGTGTCTGATCTGGCAAGCATTTTGAAACAGGTGTCATGAGGCTTATAGAAATTTTCTTTGTAAAGAAATCGAAGGAGCAGGCCTCTCTACAAACCTTATTTAAGAGTTTGAAACATGAGTGGAAATGTGCCTTTCGTTAAACCATAGAGTACTTTCACAGAGTATTTAATTGGCATTCAAGATAAGTTATTTACAATTTTATGAAAAAATATGCTTTAAGGATTTCAAAAATTAAATTAAGGCAACACTTGCTCTTTTTGGTACTTTGTGGTTACTGTCCATTCTGTCCATACTGTCCATCTAACCTGTGACTTCCCCAAACTTTCCTAGCTCGGAAAACGAAGAAGAAGATCAAAGGCATTCAGCAGGCGAGCGTCCCGGGCACGAGGGACGCCTCCGAAGGCTCTGGGAACAAGAGCATCGTCCCTGCGTCGCTGCCGCAGCTGACGCCAACGTTGGTGTCGCTGCTGGAGGTCATCGAGCCCGAGGTGCTCTACTCGGGCTACGACAGCACCCTGCCCGACTCCAGCTGGCGCATCCTGTCCACGCTCAACATGCTCGGGGGCCGGCAGGTCGTAGCTGCCGTGAAGTGGGCAAAGGCCATACCAGGTAACGCGCAAATACGGCAATTTAAAAATGCAATCCTTTCATTATAGTTAAAAATCTGTATGTGTGGTGTCTTTTGAGGCCTTCACAGATAAATTTCCATTAATGTCTGAGCTTTTAATTAGCTCTAGTTCCACCTAATTCCATTTTCTGTTAAATATTTCTTCATTATTTTTTAGCAGAAGGTTTCGCATGACTTTCACAGAGTGGTGCAGTACCCGTCCTTCATACTGACTTCCCTGGGGCTGTGCTCATGGACGGTTCTTTCTTCCCACCCTTCAGCATATCTGTAATTTTTGTCGTGACTGGGAATAGTCATTTCAGTGTGCCGCCCGGAGGGGAAGGCAAGATGTTCATTTTCTCCCCAGAACTGGCACTGCACTATTAAGCTGGTTGTCACAGGGAAGCAGACAGACACGCTGCTGTTGTGTCTCCCATGCAAAGGCAGAATTCGCAATTGCCTTGCAGAGAAGGATGGCAAATCTCAGCCTTGGACGTAGAGCATATCGGCCTGTCGTGTGTCTGGGAAAGGTCAAGGCCTCAGTGAAGGTGAAGATCAGTCTGTTACTGACAGAACAAAGACAATAAATACTTTTCTCACCTTCGCTTCTCGTCGCAGCTTCAGCTATCTGTTTCCCCACACGCTTTGATCACGCATGTGTTGCCCAACACGGCACCACATAAGAGATCTGCCAGTTCGCAGAGAAGTGCGACCGAGAATTGTGTTCTCCCATTTTACATCGTGGCCTCTTTGAGGAAGAGGAAATAAACCTACGAACAAGATCCACAGGCCTCCAACTAGACTCTGCGACCTACGAACAAGATTTTTTTAATAAGAGAAAAGCAAGACTAGACCCAAATACTTATGGCCAGCGGAGATTGCCTGGAGAGGTCTATCTGCCCCTCAGGGCTCTTCTCTGACAGGACAGAACTCTGGATTAGCCAAGCCCACATTAGGGAAGATTCGCACTTGCATACTGCCTTCTAGGTAACTCATCAGGAGACACTCTACTATTCTGAAATACAAATTCAGATGTCATTTTTAACAAGTTTTGTGTTTATCTTTTCCTCTGAATAGTTACTCAAAGAAGGCAAATTCTTCATGTTAGAACATACTATTCATGAAAAGCCACTTTTACTTAATTATATGAATGGAGACTGTTCTTCTCATGTCTTTTTATAGTCCATTTTGACTACTGAAGTTCTTTTTTGTGAGAATATTTATTGTATATTGTACGGCCCCAAACAGACTAACAGAAATCCAGCGCTGCTTGTTGCATGCTGCAGCCTGAAATCCCACAGTTAGGATTTCAAAACAACTTTTTCCTGAGAAAGGTTTGTGTAAAGATTTCATGATTTGATGCAGTAAGTGTGAAATAACTCTGAAATACCTTGCTGGCGTTTTAGAAGTAGTAAATGCAGTCACTGCTGTCTGCAAGGCCAGAAGCCTTTTGCAAAGGTGTTCAGACGCAGCAGATTTTGGTGTGCAGTAATGCACTGTGTGCCATCTATTGGAACGTCTTCAGGAGCAGCACTGCTGAACTGTACATGTCAGACACCTAATGAAATTAAGTAAAATCATCTGGAATGTAGACTTCAATAGGATTTAATGTGGCACAGTCTTCTGTTGTTAAATGTAGGCAGGACTTGATAGAAACTACTCTTGGAAATTAAAAGCTGCCTGCATTTTAAGTCTGCTTAAGGGACCAGTTTTAAGATTTTACACATTTCCTTGTTGCTTTCATTGCTTCTATTCATTCCGTATATCCCTATAAGATTAGGAGCCGTTAATGATGATGAGCAATTGAGGCATCCCGTTTAAGTTCAGTTTAGAATACTGTTGAATAAGATCAAAATTTGAAGCTAAACCATTTATTGTCCAGTCAGCTGCTGTCTCAAGAATTAAAAAATACTATTCTTTTCTTGGAAGATAACCAAATGAATTGTAGTCTATATCAAGTATAATTGCCGTCTTTCTAATCCGTCTTTAACTGGCATCAGTTCCAGTGATAATTCCAAACACATCTATTTTTTAAATATTCCATTCCCTTCTAATATCTGTAATAATTATGAAGAAATATCCATCTGACCCACCATATTCATCCGGAGAGTAACTACCTTCTTGATTGTAAAAATCCAGGGCTTTCAGACTGCATTTGCTTTGTGGATGGGACCTTGAAAGTTTCTTGAAAATTTATGTCTATAAATGCATGTATAATGGTTAATGCAAAGTTCAAGAGTTCTGTATGCTGCCTGCTCTTGCATATCTTCGTGTTATATGTTTCATTTCATCAACAGTTAGAAATTCAAACCAGCTCAAGCCTGAGTTATGCTAAAGGCTTCTATTCAAACCTCTGAACTCATATGTAGTCTGTCATGCTGCCCAGAAAACGTAATTTGAGTTCTGTGGTTGCAGTGCTTAATTTCTGCATATGCAATTTTTGCATAGGCTAAGGATTCCTTAGTGGTACTTATGCATAACCCTGGGAGCTGGAAAATGGCACTGAAATTCTGCACCCCTTTCCAAGTGCGTTTTGTTTCAATCCACAAGCACTTTCACATAAAAAACCTTTTTGATGTTGTTTTTATAATTTTTTTTGCTTTCTCCAGAAATGTAATCTAAAGAACAGTACTTGATTGAGTCAAGTGATTGTATTTTGGCATGCCTTCTTTTGTCACCTTGGTGTCATCACAGTTAAAAAAACTGCTGTGAAGTACAAATTTAAAAATAAAATATATATATATATATACACATTGCATATACATTAGTATACAAGTACATTAGTATATATTCATAATACTTAAGTTGTACTGGTAATAACCATGATCCTTTTCACTATTTTTTTCTTTGCAACCAAAATTGCCAGGCCTCAGTCTTTATTTTTTCTATTTTTTTCCAGGTTTCCGAAACTTACATCTGGATGACCAAATGACCCTTCTGCAGTACTCCTGGATGTTCCTCATGGCTTTTGCTTTAGGATGGAGATCATATAAACAATCAAATGGAAATCTCTTGTGCTTTGCACCAGATCTGATTATTAACGAGTAAGTCATATATAAGTAATATTCCCAGTTTAGCCAGGTAGCACTAGATTCTCTGCAGTATTTTGTGCTGCAGAGGTCAAATCCTACATACATAAGGTGTATCATTAGGTAACAAACTTGGGCAAAGATCAGAAATCAGTTTGTCACTTGCAAGGTTGTTTTCTTCTAACAGATTGCTTAAGGTTTTTAAATAAGTCGTACGTATAAGAACAGTGTTTTAGATCTTCAGATTGTATTTACCAGATTTCTATGGGTATGTGTTTGTACTAAAATGTTTCGTATTGTAAATGTTCTTGTACCGTTCACTATAATTATTAATTTTATGAGTCAACAAGCTGAAGCTAAAAATTTGTTTGGGATGAAAAGGGAAGTATGGCAAATTGCAAAGGGTTCTAGTTTGTACTCTTGTTGTATAGAAGTAATACCATGGTTATCTCAGTTTAAAGAATCCTTGATTAGTTGGACATATGTAGGATTGATCCAGTTATCCAAGCCTGATTTAAAATCTGGCTAGAAAAGGCAAGGTTACAAATGGAAACAATGTCCCTCTGTTTTATTTTGGTGACTTTGGTATCAATTTTAAAGACAAACTTAATTACTAACACATTTGGTCACTTCTTGAGCTGGGCATCGTGTTTGCTGTGTTTTCAGCGCAGAGCTGCGTGGTGACTCGGTGAGGAGGGGGTGGAGGAGGGAGTTGAGCCCCGTTGAGGCTGTGGGCAGGAGGCTCCGTTTGTGGTGCCCGTGACACCTCTGAACGTTTTGCGCGGAAGTAAGCGTGGTCGCGTTGCTCCCTGGGTGCTGCTGCAAGAGTGGAGTAGCAGGTGAGGTTAGGCCGTGCCATGCTGCCCACGGCCCGGAGAGCAACCGCTCCGTGTGAGCTGAACCCCTCTCCCGCAGGCAGTGTCCTGGGACGAGCCTTGCTCGGCTGTGGCTTCAGGCCTCGGAGCGCTTCCCTGTGTCCTTCAGCTCCTGTGCAGAGGGCGTTTCTGTGAGGAAGGTGAGGGAATGTCCACGTAGTCTGTGCCCACTGAGAAAGACCTTCAGTGATCTGCCGCGGCCAGCGAGAGCCGCGGAGCCCGGGCGGGCGTTTGGTCTGTGTTGTGAGCCTGGGCCTCGGAGGCTGCTGGCGCAGCCGTTCAAAACTCAGCTTCTCCACTCACGGATTTCAGGGCTGACGCTGCTGCTGTGGATTTCCCGTTTGTCTTGCCCGCCTGCAGGACCCGAGCTGTAAAACAGGACCGTATAACAGCTCTTGAAAGAGACAGCCACTAGAGCTTCTCAGCATTGGGGTTTCACAGAGGGTCATTTGAAAAGGGGTGCCCATGACAACGTGCTGTTCGTGCCGAGTGTCCCTGGGTTATTGGCTTTTATCGGGCTTGCTGCAGAATTGGGGTTCCTTTGGAAGGCCACATCCAGAAAAGCCAGGTGGGCCAGGGCGCACGTGGGGAGAGCTCAGGAGCTGGCTGGAGCTGTCCTGTCACACGGGGAGCTACTGTTTGCCAGCGCATTTGTGGAACTCACTGTAGTTTTTGCTCACTGTGTAATCAGGCTATTTAACTGTCTCGGTTTTTCACACCTTAAAATGGAGGGAATACTAATCCCTTTGGCTTTCTTTAGGGTAGTAGTCTTGATATTTTTGCTGCTATTGCACTTCAGTGTCGTATGTCCTAAATCTTTTTTTTTTTTTAATAAAAAAAGCCGGTAATAGCCATTTATGTATCAGACCTTTTTAATTTTATATGTATTTATTCCCCTTCATGCTTTCAGTGTAAGTATTTGCCAAAACTTTTAAAAACTTTAGTCTTTTCTTCGTAGTAATTAAAAAAAAAAAAAAGAAAGAGAAGGGCGGGAGAAACACGCTCTCTGCTTCTGTTTCTTAAAATCCTTAGAATGTATCCCTGAAATAAAATAATCTTCATGTGGAGAATTAATTCAGATAACAGATACTATCACTAATAAAAGTAATAGCATCACATTTGCTTTAAGTCAGAGGTCTCCTGCTGTTTTATCACAGGGTCAAAACCACAAAGTTTTTCACTTAAAAATGTGCCAGTACTCTTAAAAGATGTGCAAGACTTACCCTATTCTACCAAGTACTACTTCTCAATTTTTATTAAAGTTATGGTTTTGGTTTTGGTAGATAGATTTGTTTATACAAACTGACATTTGTTTTCGGTAAAACACACACTGAGCGAACTGCCAGACTTCTCCTCCTCATTCAGTGTGCTGCAGGTTCCCTATACATCTCGCCGGTTATACCTCTGTATACACCATTCATCAATAAAATACGGCCACATCTGAGTTAAGCATGGCAAACACTGAATAATACATAAAAGCACTGCATAAGTGATAAGACAGTTTATGAAGCAGAACACCCTCAGGGAGAACCAGAAGGATAGTGGCACTGGGGAACCGTAACTGCTGGTGCCACCACACGGGAAGGGAGGCCGCACCAACGGAGTGCTGTGTTATCCCGGGAAAATTACTGCTGCTGCTTGACTATGGAATGCAGGATGCACTGCTCACAGGAGGGCTCTTCAGGCAACTATGTGGTACTGGGCTGCACATAAAGAACCCATTGAACCCTTAGGAATTTTGTGATCCTGCATTGTCAGCTAGCAGATCCTTAGCACGTCTTCCTGCACAACAAACTGTGCAGGAATCGGTGGACGTGTTTTGCCTAGTGCTTAGGTGCTTCGGTGGTTATAGTGCTCAGTGCCAAATTCATGCCTGCTTTTGTACATGGCTCCATAATTGAGGTTCCTGAGTGAGATCAGTGTAGCCTGTGATGGGAAGGAGAACTAGACTTGCTTCTTCTGCAGGCCTAAGCTGGCAGCCTAATCTCTTGACCATCTGTCTTTTAAAAATTGAATTCTCTACTGCTTAATATTTTATTTTTGTGTCTATACTTTTATAATTTATTAAGGCAAAAGGCCACCAATATTCTCGAAAATATTCGGATGCCATTTATCACGTATTGGTTATCCTAAGGTAGTATTTGTGGTAGGGTGAATTATAAAGTTGCCGTGCTATGAAGATAAATGATTTCCCCCACATTAGTTGCAGGAAGGTTCACACAGCAGAGCAGTGGTGCTAAGCTTCCTTCTGATCCATAGCATTATATATAGCATTTCTTTGAACTTCATGTGCCGCATAACGGATGAACATATAAATTTCATTTTCTTAATGGTCCCATGAGTGTGGAAGATAGTAACTCAGATGCCGTATCTGTGAAAAGGAGCTTTTAATTTCTCTGTGGAAGTAGGAAGAGGGAAGGATGAGTGCCTGAAGATCCAGGATCATTTCCGAGGTCGCTTGGACCTTCTTCCTGACTCTGGTTCTCCTGAGCGCCCAGCTCCTGCTGCTCAGCCTTGCAACAGAGGCCTCGCTGCTGCCCTGCAGCTCCGCGCGCAGGAGCAGGCGCTGGGCCAGCGCGGGCAAAGCCCTCGCTGCAGAGCTGCTCCGAGGAGGCAGCGCGGCCCCCGTGGCCAAGGGATTTGAGGAAGAGCAGAGAGGGCCTTGAGGAGCTGCCGAGGGCTGGGAACCCTCGCACAGGGCAGTGGAAGGATTCAGTCCCCTCCTGTGCCCATAATCTGCAGCTGCTGCCGGGCCCAGTTCCCCCCGCTGCTGATGGGGAAGGTGCTGTTGAGTTACGCAGGCACGCGCTGGCCCTGGGCTTCGTAAAACTGGCATTTCCTTCCACACGGAATGCTCTCCACAAGGGAAAAAGAGGCATGAATAAGGCATTGACAGGTTCTCTTCTCCAAACAGGTAGGATGGAAAAAAAAAATCGTGTTCTGCTTTTAATCAAGACAGAGGCAAAACTATATTTTGAGTTATTCTCAGGTTTTGGAAAATATTTTAAATGTAGATTTCTGCACTTCATTTCTGAGTAGAAATAATGTGCTTTGGGAGATAAGTGTCTGACTATTCAATAAGCTCATCATCTTACATTTCAAAACAAAATTGATTTATTGTGTGGGTGTGTCTATATCAGCTGGCAATATTTTAAGTAATAAGTATTTTAAATATATAAAAAACAATTCAATTTTTTGAAAAGTTTGGCAGCTCAATAAATCTTAGACTTTAGAACATCATTTAATATTTGAGGACTATAAACACCTGCAATTTTGTAGAATTGTGTAGCTGTTTGCACAGTGTTGATTCAAAACATGCTTTTGTTAGAGGTGGCACTGTTATTGTATGAGCCTAAGGCCCCTGTCTGTGTGTCAGTGCACACAGAATCGCCGGCAGCAGCAGTAGGTACCATACGGTTGCATTCATCGGGCGCTGGATGTCATTTCCTCGCTGCAGTGCATGGAAAGCAGCTTTGGGCCCCCCGTGCCGCAGCTTCTTGTCGCTGTTTGCAAGCTCATCGTCTTGGCTGATTGTGGCGCTTAGGTTTGAGGTCAAACCCTTGATCTCGCTTGTCCTTATTAGAGTATATGCTGTCCTGAGTGCCTGCACTGGCATTAGCTGAACACAAAGAAAATAAGCCTGGCTTTTATGGGTTTTATGAGGAATGTTTTAGCAGTTCTCTTATTCCTAGAATTTTTTTAACATTAATTTTGGAGCTAATCCTGTGCAACCAGAATTGTCTGCTTCTTGGGATAGCAGCATTTTGTTTACTGGTTTTACCCCCTCGTAGACCTGTTGAACTGTGCAGGGGGGGGTTGAACTAGATGATCTCTAGAGGTCGTTTTCCAACCTCAACGATTCTGTGACTCCTCACATGCTGAAAATGCTCCCGTGCTGCTGCCCTCAGCCTCCCCGCTGGCAGCCCACAGAGGAGGAGGGCCGTGAGGGCCCCCGGACGAGGCCGGCGATGCCGTGGCTGAGGCAGGACCCTGGCCCCGGCGCTTGCCGCGCACTTGGGCACGCTCCCCACACACCCCGAGCCGCTCTGGCCGCACCGGCGCTGACCGAGCTGCTGCCGAGTTGGCGCTGTGGCATGAGCGGCTCCTGCCAAGGCAGCGCCACCGCGTGCGGTGCCCCTTCTGATGAGCTTCGTGCCCAGTTAAACGTCACACCTGCTTGCAAGGGGCTAGGTCTGTCGCTCGCCCGTGCCCTCCGCCGGCGCCGGGGCACACTCCATGGCGTGGCGCTTGGCACTGCCCCGCAACTGCCCAACCCGCTCCGCGGGGTCTCAGTCCGCGGCCATGGCGTTCCCAGGAGATGGAAATAAACGGCAGGCTGGTCCGTTTCATAATATTTGTTTTAACCTTCTGCCCAGAAGCAGCAATATTTTTACATGAGGAAAACTGCTGATCCCCGTCACGGAATGTGTTTAAGTTACTCAATTTGAAATACGCAGGATGCCCTTTGATACAACCGAAAGGGTTAGCAGAAAGCTTGCCAAGCAGTGCTTTATGTCAAGAGCTCTAGGAAGCGTCTCAAAC